ATCCTAGTTAAGGACGCCAAAGGTCAGAGTTAGTTAGGAGCTTTATTTTGGGTTTAGTTCGTTTTAACTAATCGAATGATAATATTAATTAACCTCCCTTTTCCCCGCTTGCTACTATAGAGTGCCCCGGCGTGTGCAAGGGCCGATGCGCGCTGCACTCCCGCCAGAACGTGTGCAACAGGGCGTGCATCACGTGCTGCTCACACTGCAAGTGCGTGCCCCCGGGGACGGCGGGCAACAGGCACGCCTGCGGCACGTGCTACACCAGCTGGCTCACCCACAGGAACCAGACCAAGTGCCCTTGAAAAAAAAAAACACGCGTTTTTTTTTTTTTTTTTGAACTTTTTATGTGTTGCTGCTAGCTAGCCTGTCGTGTGCACGCGAGGGGGAAGAACCGGTGTTGTAATTTTGTATTTTGAAGCTACTTCGCTTGTGTCAGAGAGATTTGCTTCCGTTCTGTCCTTGTGAGCTGTGTAGTGTCATCATCGTGGACTGAGATCTGGTGTAGTTTGTTACTTCTTTAATTATTATTTCGCTCCCGTTGCTCTCTCGCTCCGTTCCAAAATATACACTTCAAAAAAACTTGACCGAGGCATAAAAGATTTGAAGGGATAGATAATATATATTTAACCAACATTTCTTCTTTATCCACCTTCATCTACTTTGACCCAATAATCAGTAATAAGGGTGTTTCAAATTTATAATTTTTGTGGGCTGTGATTTTTTTTAATCGTTTCAACCTTGTGAAGTTTATTTTACCCCCCTTAAAATTCACAATTTGTATACATATATGTTATAACCCATAATTTTTTGTCCATTTTCTTCTAGATCCGATGACCAATTGGCACATTTAAAAATTGAAATTTCATGCGACTCGCAATTTTTGGTCTATTTTAAGTTGTTTGGATTTAATAATAATTTATGAATTTTATGGCTAATCCTCAAATTTTGGTTCATTTCTATCTACTATGACTCGATGAGCATTAATTGGTGTACTTGAAGTTTGAAGATTTTGACCCAATAAAAATTAAGTTTTTTTTTTTTCTATAAACTATGACTTTCATGGGCTATTTGCCCATTTTCATCATCTTCAACCCAATGATCATAAATTGACATATATCAAGTTGCGTTAATCAACGATTTTGGTTTGTTTTAATTCTATGAAAATTGAGTATCCTTTTCTCAAAATTTATAATTTTCATGAGCTATATAACTCATAAATTTTTATATCTTTTTTATTTTCTTAGACCTAAAAATAATTAGTTTGAGCATGCCAGATTTTTAACTTCTATGGGTCACAATCCATTTTTTGTCATTTTGATCTCATGAAAAGTAATTTTTTTTCTCAAAATTCACGATTTTCATATGTTATACCCCATAATTTTTTGTCCATTTTTATTTATGTCGATTCAATTATCATTAATTGAAGTACTTAAAATTTACAATATTTATAGTTTATAGCTCTCAATTTTTTACTTGTTCGGACCCGTTAGCAAATAGTTTTCTAGAACTTAAAATTCACGATTTCATGAACTATATAATCCACGATTTTCGCCATTTTATAACTGTTTTGACTCATTAGCTAGTAATTTTACAGATGTCAAAATTCTTAATTTCATGAATTATAACCCATATTTTTTATCATTTTAACTTATTTAAAAATAATTTCACAAGATTCAAAACTCACTACTTCATGAGCTATTACCAACAATTTGACCATTTATTCATTCCGACCATTGGTAAATAAATTCATAGAATAAAAATTCATAATTTAATGAATTACCCACGTTTTTTGACAAATAATTTCACGAAATCCAAAATTCAAGTTTTCATGAGTTATAACTTATGACTTTAATCTATTTTTAGTCATTTCAATCAATTAATAAATAATTTTACGTAGTCTAAAATCCATGACTTTGTTAGCTATAACTCACTATTTTTCGTTGTTGCTAGTCGTCCCAATCCATTGGCAATTAATTTTACAGAGAAAAAAATTCTTAGTTTCATGAGACATAACCTATGATTTTTTTATCATTTTTAGTCCTTTCGATCAATTGGAAAATATAATTCATACTTTAAATATTCACGATTGCATGAGCTATTATACATATTTTGGCCATTTTTATTCATCTTAACCTATTAGCAAGTAAATTTGCAGAGCCAAAAATTCACGATTTCATAAGCTATATTCATGAGTTATGACCCACGCTTGGCTATTTTTATTCAATTCGACTCATCGAGAAATAGTTTTACAGAGTCCAAAATTCAAGATTTCATGAACTATTACATATTATTTTTGGTTATTTTTCTTAATTTTAATCTATCGGCAAATAATTTCACATAATCCAAAATTCAAGTTTTCATGAGTTATAACTTATGACTTTTATCTATTTTTAGTCATTTCAATCAATTAACAAATAATTTTACGAAGTCTAAAATCCATAACTTTGTTAGCTATAACTCACTATTTTTCGTTGTTGCTAGTCGTCCCAATCCATTGGCAATTAATTTTACAGAGAAAAAAAATTCTTAGCTTCATGAGACATAACCTAAGATTTTTTTATCATTTTTAGTCCTTTCGATCAATTGGAAAATATAATTCATACTTTAAATATTCACGATTGCATGAGCTATTATACATATTTTGGCCATTTTTATTCATCTTAACCTATTAGCAAGTAAATTTGCAGAGCCAAAAATTCACGATTTTATAAGCTATATTCATGAGTTATGACCCACGCTTGGCTATTTTTATTCAATTCGACTCATCGAGAAATAGTTTTACAGAGTCCAAAATTCAAGATTTCATGAACTATTACATATTATTTTTGGTTATTTTTCTTAATTTTAATCTATCGGCAAATAATTTCACATAATCCAAAATTTATGATTTGATGATTAACCCATAATTTTTGGTCAATTTTTATTGTTTCCTCCCATTGGCAAATAATTTCATGAAACCCAAAATCCACAATTTAACAACTTATTACTCATGATTTTAGGCCATTTTTAATTGTTCTGACTCATTAACAAATAATTTTGTAGAGGCCAAAATTTACAATTTCATGACCTATACTCCATGTTCTTTGGCTATTTTTAATTATTTTGACTCATTCGAAAATAATTTTACAGAGTCTAAAATTCATGATTTTATGAACTATTATCAATGTGATGTGCCTTGTCTACCTCTTTTTCTTCCCCTGCTAAGCCTTAATCAAGACTGGGGGTTGGTTATTTGGAATCCATTGGATTAAGAGTAACGAATCTTTCACATCGTCAAGTTAACATTACACTTCTGACGATCATCATCCCCACAGAGTATGCATTCAATTTGCATCACTCCCAATTTGTCACGTTAACACCACACCTCTGACAAACTCACTTATCAATCCTCATCAATAGGATGATAAGTCCCCAAAGTTGCTCCAATCGCAACACAAATCCTGTCCTACATATTATTTTTGGTTATTTTTCTTAATTTTAATCTATCGGCAAATAATTTCACATAATCCAAAATTTATGATTTGATGATTAACCCATAATTTTTGGTCAATTTTTATTGTTTCCTCCCATTGGCAAATAATTTCATGAAACCCAAAATCCACAATTTAACAACTTATTACTCATGATTTTAGGCCATTTTTAATTGTTCTGACTCATTAACAAATAATTTTGTAGAGGCCAAAATTTACAATTTCATGACCTATACTCCATGTTCTTTGGCTATTTTTAATTATTTTGACTCATTCGAAAATAATTTTACAGAGTCTAAAATTCATGATTTTATGAACTATTATCAATGATTTTAACCATTTTTATTCATTGCGACCTATTGGTAAATAAGTTCACAAAGTCGAAAATTCATGATTTCATGAGCTATATCCTCTGATTTTTGTCTATTTTAGTTGTTTCTACTCATTGGTAAATGATTTCGCGAAATCTAAAATTCACAATTTTATGAGTTATGACCAACAATTTTGATAATTTTAG